GCAGCACATTAAAGACGTCCTAGACCAGGTGATGATTATATCACTAATAAAGGATGATAACCTTGATGTTACACTATGCTCCTGACTCATTCGGTGTTCATGATGAACAACAAATCCAAATAGGAATTCAATGTGCAATGTATTCACCATTGCCACCGAAATCACAGTTTCTCTCCACTTTTCTCTACCTCATCACTGATTCCCCTTCATCACCCTAAATCCCCTTCAGCCCACTATATCCTCCCTGGCTGCCTTACAAGACAGCCTGGAACGCAAACTCTTCAGTGGCACAGAACATGGACTGACTGAAGCCATAGTGGACTTCCCTCAAGAATGTGTCAAATTGAAGTCATTGAGGAAACAAAACAAAACTTTAAAAATGCATGTACCTGGAGGAAGACAGGGTTAAGCTAACTCTTGGCAAAGGATTTGCTTCCTGGTATTTCCAAATCCCACTCCCTGCCCTCCACTTTCGTTTGGATGCCCTTGAGTTGACTCTACCCCTTCCTGAAGGCCAGTAATCACGAAGTCATACAGTCCACTTTGTGTCTGCTTCCTCTTTAGTAGGCCGGGCAAACAACAGCCTCTCTCCGGGAACTGGGACAGACAATCCTTTCAAAATGATGAGATGAATCATGCCTACTTCATATCCTGAAAAAAATTTAAGTCTACTTCCAACAATTTGCCAACAGTAACCAGAAAATACATACAGAACTGTCTGCATCATGAACCTTCTTGTTAACTCTTTTACTCAGAGGGGGAGTTAAATTCCGTGCCAGTGAAATACACACTCCCATCCATACACTCACACTTAAATCTCTATCTATACCCTTTGTCTACTCCAGGTTCTTAGCATCAGAAACATTCAAAAATAGGAAGAATAATGGGTCAGCTCATTGACTGATAACTCTTTTTGTTCTTGTGCTGGGGATCAAACCTGGGGCCTTGCACATGCTAGGCAGGCACTCTACTGCTGAGCTATACCCCCAACCCAATTCTCTTTCTTAAAATCTAAGTTTGTTTGTTTTTTGCCTCTGCTACTTGGATTGAAGTTAAGTATTTAAGAAATAATCTTATCATCTATTTTTCAATAGCTATTCCTTTTTAAATTTGAGGACTCACATTATAGGACACTAAAACATTTGTAAAAGAAGAGGAACATAGATGAAACAGCAATATAATTACCCTGATTATACATTAAATCTATCCCTGATTCGTCCTGCAAACAAACCATGAGGTGTGTAACAGGATGTGTTATGTAACAGTCATTGTTTGGTGAAAGGAAGTATATTAATTCTTATGAAAAGAATATTTTTCCTGGCACTAAAAAGGAAAATTTACAGATCCATCTTCAAAGAAATTTTGAACTATATACAGGACAATCACTGGATTTTGGGGGGTATGTTTTGTTTTTGTGGTGTTGGGGAAAAAATTCAGAGCCTCACCGCTGAGCTGGATAATTTCTTAGTTAACCTTTTTGGGCCTTTTTTTTTTTAACAACATGATAAGAAGAAAATTTTTACAAAATAATACATTTATATTCAATTCATAAGGCAGGGCCTGTCCTCAGGCAATATGAGCAGAGAGTAGAGCATGATGGGAATTAGTAATGACTAAATGCAAGTAAAGATTTGAAAACCTTCATGTTCCACCCCTTTATCCTGTCTGCACCCTTTCTCTGAATTGGCAGCATTCAAAGTTTGGTCTATGGACCAGCTGCTGGTCTGCAGGCTGTTACTGATACACAAGGAAGTCAGTTTAGAAATTGAGAGTATAAAATCGCTATAGCAATTTGACAGAATTACTTTATAAATACTAAATCTAATAATTTAAAATTGAAGTTTGTCCTTTCGAGATCAACAATGTTTTAACTTTTATTCTTTTGTGGTAATTCATCTGTATCGCATGTTATAAGAGGAGATTCCTGCAATAGTTTGAAAACTTTAAAAGCCAAATCAGTCTCTTGCCTCAGACAGATAAAGTACTGAAGAAGATCTCCTGCCATGGCTTACATTTAGATGCTCCCCTCCCCCCAGTCTCAGGTGCTCAGAGGTGGGGCTTTTTGGACATGGCTAGACCAAGGGTACATGTGTGCAGATTAATGATGTGAAAAATAAATTTGTCCACTAATTGGTTTAGCACAGTTCTGGATGTGGATAATGGGAAGGCCTACCCTGGGAGGGGGTGACACCATCCAAAAGGCTTATAGTCTCAATGAGATAAAAGGGAAAGAGAGTTGGGCTGGGGATTTAGCTCAGTGGTTCCACCATCTGCCTCGCAAGCACAAGGTCCCTCCCGAGTACGATCCCCAGTAAGAGAGGCTTGCTGCTGCTGCCTGCTGCCTCCTGCCTGCGGCCTCCTGCCTGCCCTTCATGAACTGTTTCTCCTCTGCCATGCCACCCTGCCTTGGAGCCAGCCAACTGTGGACTAAAATCTCTACAAACTGTGAGCTAAAATAAACCTTGCTTCCTTTAATTTGTGGGTGTCAGGTATTTTGTTCCAGCAACAAGAAAAGTTAACTAAGACACCTCCATTTCTCAAACTTCAGGGGACACCTACTTCTTATGATTTTGCCATACTTTTGTAAAACCAAAATTGCTTCGTTATTTAAATAAATTTCAAATGATATTATCACCAGAAGTCCTGTATCACTATTGTAAATAGTCAATAATATCAAGATCAAAAACCTTAAAAACAAAGTAGTGACACTCAATTTAAAAAAAAATAATGATATAGGGGTGGGGAAGTAGCACAGGGAAAGGTGTATGCTTAGCATGTGTGAAGGGTTCCATCCCCAGCACTATGACAAAAAATAAATAAAAATAAAATAACTATCTTCAAATAACGACAAGCCTCGTTGGTTTGCAAAAGTACATTTGAAAATAAATGGAAAATAAGAAAAGTTTTTGTCTTTCCTATCAGTCAGTTGAAAATAGATATTTAGCGCAATGTTTCTCAGTTTTAGAAAAAGCTGAGCCAAAATGATATTTAATGAATTAATTCCTAATCAAATTAACATAGGTATTCTTTCAATAACTACGTTTTCCCAGTAGCTTTCTGAAGCATACTCTTGGATCTTTTCAGGGAGCAGGTGGCATGCTGCGGCTGGAACCCAGGACATGGAGCATGCTAAGCAACGTTTCACGCTAAGCTGCAACTCAGCCCCCAAATGTTGCTTCTTTTGAATTGGTCAGGTTATTTGATAATGCTAGAGAAAATGATTTACAAAGGATTTCCCTGCCCTGCATCACTGATAACTAGTTTGAGGAAGTATTTATGAAGATCTTTTATCTAGTGGCCTCTTCATGATTTCGAAACTATTTTCAACAAATTCTTTAGATTAAGTTTCTGAGGAAACTATCAGTTTTTCCAAGGCATATATTAGTGAAATGAATATAAATTTCAGAGCTTGCTCTCAGGATTCTAAGGTTACCATGTCTTATATGTGGAAAAATATAACAGCTGTCAATTACTGCACTCTGATGTGGGCTGGGCACTTTGCTAAATTTTATATATGTGTGTGCTGGTATATATGTACATTAAATACACATATATTTTACACATATGTATGAGTACACTAAAAATAAAATACATGAGAAATATACATGTATGTATCTCACTTATCTATTACACAGTCAAATATATATAGACTTAATATAATTTTCATGTACTACATATATAAATCTATGTGAAATTTAGATCAAGAAATTGGAGATGAAAGATACAAGAGATAGAAATAGGAGCTAAGAGATAAAGGAGATGAAATTATACATATTAAATGAAATTATGTAATGTATTCATTTATATTTATCACATATTCATATATATGATATTATCATATATATGAAATCTCATTTATTCTCTCAGTGGGAACAGGTGCTCAGAGAAATCTAGTGACCTCATTCAATCAACAGTCAGTGAGTATTTGTTGCCTGCATGCTGTGTGCCAGGCACCATCCTAGACACTGGCAAATAGAATAGACACAGCCAGGTCATTGTGTCTGAGTGATAGCTGGGGAGAAGGAGAAGCAAGCAAGGTGACAGCACCACTAGTGCTGACAGACGAATAGTGACAGCTATGAAGAGGACCAGGGGTGGTCAAGGAAGTGCTGAGAAGGCCATTCGAGATTTGAACCGAGATCTGAATGGGCAGCAGCAAGCAGCCTGACGAAGTCTGAGAAGGAACATTCCAGGTGGAAGAAGCAGCTACTGCAAAGCCCTTAGGATAAGAACAAGCTTGGCACGTTCAGGGAAAAAGGAATGCATGGCTGGGGTCTCCCCAAGCAGTGGAGAAGGCTGCAATCAGTGTCACATCAGGCCCTGTAGCTATGTTGAGGAGTTTGGAATTTATCTCTACAATGGAAAACACTTGGAGGGTTTTAATTAGGGGAGTGACATAATCTGATTTCATTTCAAAAATATCTCTCTAGGGCTGGGGATGTAGCTTAAGGGGTAGAGTGCTAGGTTCAATGCCCAGGACAAAAAAAAAAAAAAGGGAAAAATACACAACCTTTTGGATGCTACACAAAGAATAAAATATAATATGAAAAAGGGGGCAAAGTAGAAAGACACAAAGTCAAAAGCTTATACAGTAGACCTCCAACTTAAGATGGTTCAACTTGCTTTTTCCCCTTCTATTGTTATAGTGGGTGAAAATGACTCACATGTAGTAGAAATCATAGCTTGAATTTTGACCTTGGACCTGCCCTGGGCTCCTGGTGTGGGATCCAATCCTCTCTGAATGCTGGGCACCAAAGCCACAGCTCCCATCCAACCTGCAATCATGAGGGGAAACAACCACCACTATAGTGGACTGTGTCACTAAGCTAGGGCAGTCAGTAGGTCTGGTGGATTCAGTGCATTTTCAACTCATGATAGTTTCAATTTATTATAGGCTTGTGAGGATGTAACCCCATCGTAAGCTGAGGGGCATCTGTGTACTGACTCGGCCAAATGGCAGTGCCACAGATGGAGGGAAAAGAATGGATTTGAGGTCACGATCAACCGGGAAGGTTCGAGATGAAGGAGAAGAACAAGTTCTTGTTCTGGCATAAGCACATTTCCTCTGGTTTCATGGCCTAGAAAGAGACAGAGCAAAATTTAAACCCAAGACTGGGAGCTGTCCTCCTTTTGGTAGCTACAGAGCAGAAACCCAAGACTACAGCTCCCAAGTCTTCTGCAAATGCTTAATCCCAATCCTGGTACATCCTGAGCTCTCTGAAAGCCCTTGGACTGTGGTCTGCTCAGGATGTACACTCTCAGAGCAGCCAGAGAGGAGGAAATCTGGGAGTGGTGTTGAGAATATGCAAAGGGCCCCACCACTAGAGGCCTGGTCTCAGTGAGAGAAATCTACACCCTTCTCCTTCCCCACCCTTATTTTCCTAGGATTCTCACTCCACATCCCCAGCCTCCTCCCTCCTATCCTTTAAGGTCTCCCTTAGTACCTACACAGCCTCTGTGGGTCTCTTAGCATCGCAAGAGCACCAGGGCACGGGGACCACGTCAGAGAATGCTGCCCTAGGTCATTCCTTTCATCCCTCCTGCTGCATTCAGGTCATCAGGGAAGTTGGAGGAGCACTACTTCGTGGTGTCAACCAGGATGGAGAGATCCAGAAGGAAGAGGACTGAAAAGGGCCACTGAATTTGGGAGAAAAGATAAAAAGATAGGAAAACAAATTTGTCTGGCATTACACTGTGAGTTTACAGGTGAAGCACAGGGACGTTAGCACAGATCAGATGTTCAGGCAACCTGAGCACAATGACTGAAAAGAGAGAGGTTTGTAGCTTAAGGGAAAGTAGGACTAAGAAGAATACTTTCAATATATCACATATAGGAAAGCATTTTTAAAGTATTTTGCAAATATAAGAGATTGTTTGACCCTGTCATAAGCTGTCTTTTCCTTATTTCTTTTCACCTCAATGCCCCTGTTTCCCTAAACAAATTATAAGGGAAATAATAAAGCATGTTTAGTATTTCTTGGTATTGTCTTACACACGGAGATCAGTCAAAACTTGATTACTAAAATGTAAAATCGGGGCTGGGGATTTAGCTCAGCGGTTCTACCTCCTACCTCACAAGCGGAAGGTCCCGAGTTCAATCCCTGGTACCAAAAGATAAATAAATAAATAAATAAACAAATAAAATCAAAATAGATGGAAGGGTCTAGGATGATACATACCCACATGTTTCCTCATTGTTTACTACAGTGTATGTTACTTTGAGAACAGATACTAAGCCCTGTGTTTCTTTGTATCTGTGCATGTATATGTCCAGAGCCTTGAACATAGTAGGTTTTCAATTCATATTTGTTGGCAGATTTTAATTACATATATTAGTTAACCTCTAGTTCTCACCTCAAATGACAAACTGTCTTCTGGCAATAACTGAAATTACAATGCAATTATATTAAATTGCATTCAAATATATGGATTATCTCACCTTTTTCCAATGAAATCTAGATACGCTATTTTGCCAATTAAACTACCCCTTTATCAAAGGTCCATTAATCTCCTGGAGGTACCACTGAGCTCATTAACTAAATGTCAGGTAGGCACAGAAGCTACTTTGGATTTCATTTAATAAACCAGAGCAATTTAAAGTAATTAGTCATATCTTGTGAAAAGAAGCCAAAGTGTAGCCTGTTTAACTTGCTAGAAATCGTGGGTGCAAGAGCTCGTAAAGTGAGAGGGCTTGGGTTACAAGCCTTGTCTCCTTTGCCAAAGCTTTCAAGTCAAGCAATTATTTATCCTACATAAAGGACAGAGTTGACTTTAGGAACACTTTCAAAGCCATTTAAGCTGTTCGTAGAACATCTGGGGGCTGGAGACTTCGTTCAGTGGCAGAACACTTGCCTAGCATGTGTTAGGACCAGGGTTCCACCCAGCAGCAGAAACACACACACACACACACACACACGCACACAATTTGTAGAACATTTAAAAATGTTAAATTGTCTAACTTATGGCCTAGATCCAGCTCATTTGTCTGAAAACTTATTTTAGTAACATATAAATTATAGTCTCTTTTTTAATCCAGTATCCCCCATTAAAGTGATTTACTTTCCAGAATTACCAACAGTACTGTACATTATTTGCATTACTAAAAAAAAATTAGAAAATGTATGACTTTCCCCACAGTAACTTGCAGTACATGGATTATCATTTGGATTTATTTTAACTCTGCACTCTTTTACATGATTTAGTATACTTAAAATGCTTTCAAGAAAGAAATGAAATTAGGCCATTTTTATTAATGGGCTAGTCAATATAATAGACTAGTTATCATAATAATCAGGAAAATTGTAGGTAATTCTTCTGTTCTAATACTGATAAAATAATTTGTATAATATTAATTATTTTTAAATGAGTTTACTCCACAACTGACAAAGTTATCATAATTAAAGAATTAAACAAATTGAACCAATTTTTAGATATTTATATTCTATAATCCATATTATCTAAAGGCCAAATGATGTGTTTCTCTCATATGAAAATGACATAATTTATTAACCCACTAGGTTAATAAGCTACTCCAAGAAGGGAAAGATAATCAAATATCCATATACTTTTTATAAGTCTTTTATTTAACCTTCGCAACACACTTCTAAGATGAATATGATCTGGGTTAACAGATGTGGAAAATGAGTTTTTACAGTGAAAGTAATTCATCTAAGAGCAAGCAAGTAGAGACTGATGAGTTGAGGTCTGAAGACAGATATGGGCCCACCAATACCAGAGTTATTCCATCTTGACATAGGGTATTTTTTTTTTAAACAAAAAAAGTGAAATTGTGTTCTATTACAATCAAAATGTCCACATTCACTACCAAAATGTGAATGACTTCAAATAGTCATTTGTAAACACCTTTAAATTTTTCTCCTCTTTCTCCAAAAAATTGCTCAACTTCTTTACTGTCATAGCTGATCTTCTGTTTCCTATATACAATGTTCAGTGAGGGTATGTTCATAGAGTTACATGGAGCAACGGTGGGCAAGAATCAAAAGGGGGACCAGGCTCCTCATAGACCTTACCATGTATGAGAAAGGCAGGCAAACAGGAGGCTATGAAAGGAAGGTTCTGATGTTCCCAGAGTTAGAGGGGCAGCATCTGAGGTGGCCTAGTCCAGACGGGCATGGGTGGGAAAGCTGCCCAGAAGGGACAAGGCTGTGCTGCTTCCCGAAGGAAGCGTGACAGCCAGACAAGGAGGTGGAGAAACAAGACATCAGGAAGCCGGAAGGATGTCTAGAAGCAAAGAAGTGAGAGGGTGTGGGGTATTCTGGTAAGGGAAAATACTTGGATACTGCTGCAGTATAAGAAATAGAGGTTGCAAAACAAGGAGGAGGGAGGGGTGATGGTAAATGACCCCAGGAAGCAGTCAGGGCCAACTGCCAAGACCGCTGTAGACCAAGCGTCAGCATTTAAGCCTCCCTTAAGGCCACATGAAGGCTTTCAAAGGTGTTGACCAGGGGAGTAAAATGGTTGGATTTGTATTTTGTTTTATTTATTTATTTATTTATTTATTTTATTTTTTGGTACCAGGAATTGAACTCAGGACCTCGCAGGCGCAGTGCCACTGAGCTAAATCCCCGGCCCCTTGTATTTTGTCTTATTTTTATTTTATTTTATTTTGGGCAATGGGGATCAAAATCAGGGCCTCACGAATGCTAAGCACAAATTCTGCCACTGAGCACCCCCTGGCCTGGATATGTATTTTGAATGGATCACCTGGGAGCGGGGTGATGAGCAGATTGAAGCAGAACAAGAACTGATTGGGAGGACGATTAGGAGACTGTGACAATGTCTCAGGCTCAGAAATGACCTTGGCAGTGGCAGAAGAAATGGAGTCCAAAAGGCAAAGTCCAGAGACACTGAGAAAGTAGAAAGGAGCAGACATCATGAACCACTGGACCCGGGGAGAACAAGAGCTGAAGTAGCAGTCTCAGCGGCTCCTTTCTTGGTGCTCACCAGTGAGTTGACAACATCATTCATCAAAAAGAGCAACTATTTGTAGAAAAGCAGACTGGGAAGAAGTTCAGGACTCCATGTTTAGACATCAGAGTTTGAGATCTATGTGAGACATCTGAAGGGAACCCTTTAGCAGGTCCGGAGGGAAGCAGAAGCAGTAAGACATAGATTTCTTGAGCCCACAGTTTGTACGTGGCTTTTAAAGCCATGGAAGTGAGTAAGAGCGTGTTACTCAGCTGCTCTTCCTCCCTGAAGAAGGTGGAGGTGGGAAGACAGAGCCGCCAACCACCAACACTTAAGGAGTGCTCAGCAACAGAAGAACCTCAGAGAAGCTGAGAGGAATGGAAAGCTAGGAGAATACGGCATCACAGAAGCCAAGAGCTTCAAGCAGGAGGCCAGAACCACCACTGTCTCGTCCTTCAGACAGGCCAGTCTGATAGAATGGACGGCGCAGACAGTGGGTTTAGCAACAAAGACGACCTTGACTAACGATAGGAGCTAGGTCAGCGGAGTTGTCAGAACAGATGCCAGACCAAAGTTTTCATGGGACAGAATCTCCTGAAAGAAAGAAAGAAATCATCCATAACTCTTATTTGCTAAAGGAGTGGAACCAATTGTAAAGTTTACACTTTTTGGGGCCGGGGATTTAGCTCAGTGGTGTCGCTGCCTGCTTCGCAAGCACAAGGACCCGAGTTTGATCCCCAGTACCAAAAAAAAAAAAAAAAAAAAGAAGTTTACACTTTTTTTCCAAGCATTTCTTTTAGTTGGCAGTAAATAGGAATAGTACTTTCCATCCCCTTTTCTTAATTACAGCTTTCACAGTGTGTTGCCAGATACAAGCAGCCTCGTCTGTAAAATGGATTCATTGCAGCATTGTGTAAAAGTAGGGCTTCCCTGCAAAAGCTATTGTGAATTTGAGTCCTGTTCATGCAGATTGCTTATATGACATCTACCTAGAAGAAATTTAGAACATGATTCCAATTCTCATAGTTTGGGGACACAGTCCAGTGATTTATTTTAAAACTCAGTCCTGAAATGTCCTGTTTTCTTCTACACATACATATATCTTTTCTTTTTTGTACCAGGGATCGAAGTCCAGTCCTTGCGTTTGCAC